TGTTCTGGCATTACTAGGAAGTAATGTCCAGGAGGACAACAAAAGAAGTGCAGCATTTTATTTAAGAAGCTAAGCAGTGATACTTGCTATTGAAAAGGGGTTATGGCTTGACTAATAAATCCACAGTGGGCATGGGAAGCCAAAATTCGATTTTAGAAGTTCCGTAGTAATACTTGGGTCTGAAATGCTTTGGATAATGAGTAAGTATGTATATGTAAGGAGGAATACCAAACAGCACTGGTTTGCTTTTCACTGGAAGTGTGGCAATCATCTTGATTTTCCCATAGAAAGCAAGTGCTCTTAATTTACTGTGTTTCTTTCCTTAGTTAAAACGAAGAATTCTTCTGGGTAGGACTGATTTGTGTATGCTGACTTACTGTATTTCATGGTTCTTCCATCTTCCACTTTCTCTAACTGATAGATGTATGTCTTTAAATTATCTGACAATGCAGACATTGGTGTTCCAAATATGATTGATAAAATGTAAGGAATGACTATTTGAATTTTTGTTGCTAAGCTGTTAACTGCACAAAAGAAGAAATAGTAATGGTGGGTGACTTCACCCTGTCTGTAGGTACATGGTGCCTTTGTTACCAAATTTCCCTAACAGTACTAATAGTGAGGAAGCTTTATGCAAATTTTCTGCGTGAAAGTTGTCACCTCTTCTTTATTTTGGTCCCCATTTGCAGAGCAGTACCTTCTCTGTTTGCCATTTGATAAGTGGAATATAAGGCATCATTAATTACATAGGCACTCCTTTAATTTTATTGTTTGTGACCAATTTCAGATCCAGTTACAGACCCAGTAAGAAGTGATGCATTTTTACAGAATTGCACCTGGTCCTTGTCCTGAGGAGTTACCAGGGTGTAGTGGTAGTCCTGCAAAAGTCAGCATGGATAGAAATACAGCTCACAGTTATGGGTTATACTACTATTCTCCATAGTGGCAACTCAAAACCTAAATGAAATTATAATTAACTGCAATTAACTGAAGAACTGCCTGTGTAAAATGAAGTTTCTGTTTAATTAAAAACTTCAGCTTTTGATCATATATTCCCAGATCACAACTTTTCTGCTATTTTATCAGACCTATTTATTCTTGACGTTAAAAGAGCTATATTTCTTTTACTTCCTTCTCAGCAAGCAAATTTACCTAGACAATAATTCATATTGCAGTTTACTCAGTAAACAGAGTGCATTTTGAGAAACACTGCCTTTTAAGAATTGCATCTGATCCAATAAACCAAATTATATAATAATAAAGTATGTCACCGATGTAAACAAATACCAGATGGGTTGTAAAACATTCAATTTTAGATCAGTGCAAATAGTCTGGGATAAATACTGCTGTGGTGTATTGTCAGTCACTAGTAAAGCTCATAAAGGGATTCCCACTGTGTGCCTGAATACTGGAGGGTTCCACCTTCATGTTTGCTTTTCTCTTGCCTTACGTTTTGCTCTCTTTAGCCCCAAATGCTCCCCATTATTGCTCTTCCAGACCCAGTGCATGGCTGCTTTTCAAAGTGTGGCAGCACAAGCTAGGAAGGTTTACCAATGAAAATCAGAAGATGTTCCCAGATAAAGTGTTCCAGGGAAGGGGTGTGGGCCTGTTGAAGATTGGGCACTGTGGAGGCTGGGATGTTGCTTTCAGTATTTTGGGAAGTGGGAGTGGGCTCATCGCTCATGTTATTTTCCCACCCTGAAGGGAGGGATGTTGTTACTTGTACCAGACCCAGCTTCCCCCAGGATGGATGTACATGGTGACAGTTGGATCATTTTACTCTTCAGACATGAACGCTTTCACTGCAAGACTCTTTCAGCTGTGGTCAGTTCGAGATAAAGCTTGAAGTGCATTTCCATTATTGATTGAATTGTAAGCCTTTTATATGCAGTTAAAATCCAGAGGTTGTTGTTCTGTATTTAAGGTGTCTGCTAGTGCTTCTGTAATGAAGTTTTCTAATTGTGTATTCATTGACATTTGATCTTATCTTCAGATACATGGTCTAGTGGTGGACTTGGCAGTGTGAGGTTTGTGGTTGGACTTGATGGTCTTAAAGGTCATTTCCAACCTAAACGATTCTATGATCTGCTTATGTGTCATATTCTATATTTAGTCAAATTTATAATAATATTTAAATTTAAATTAGCATATCTCATTTAGCATTCCATCAGAAGAGGTAGTTAAGTATTGTATTTGGAGGATATCCACATTTTTTGTGGCTTTACCTGGTTTTCTATTTTTCTTTCTACCCCATCTAGATCTCTATTTTCTTTATTTGTATGATAAACCTGAGATTTCTTAGTTCATGCAAACACCTTTAGACCTTTTAAATCCTTCTTAATACTTGAAGCTAAGTGACAGAAAATACAGGAGCAGATTTTTTGAAAAAACTTGACTTTCAGGTGGCTTTGTATACTCCAGATGGAGTCTTGATAAAATCTGAACAAGAGAGTGTGTTATTCCCAAAGTCCAGAATAAATGTTCATGTAACACTCTTCAAAAGGTTTGTTCAAAATACTTCTAACAGTTTACAAAAAATAGTTAAGTAACACAAAGCAGGCAGATTTTCAGCAGATTATCTACAAGTACCATGTCTGAATTATGAGCAATGGTGGCTCACTGTTTATTATTAGCCAGCCATAAAATGCAGGTTGGATCATGGAAACAGGAATGCTTTGCCTCCTGGGTTTTATTGGTAGAGAGGAGATGCAGTCAGGATGGTTTAGCTAAGAAAGGATTGTTGTTTTTTTATGATCACAAAGCTTATATTTGTGTATTGATCTATCAGCCTATTTGACATCACCAGAGATGCCAAATTTGAGTTATCTTAGGAGCTGTATAAAGCGCAGAATGTGCTCATTTTAGCTGCCTGTTTGTGTAGAATTTACTTGTGTAAATACTGAAATGATGTAGGGTGAATTTAAACACTCTTTAGTTTTATGTATTAAAAAATATAGTTAATTTATATAGATGGATTATGACTGCAGACTTTTATTTTCCTTGGTTTTCTTCTAAAGTTAACAGAAAAGAGCCACTTGAGATCTGGAGAATTTTCTGTTTTCTCTGTGAGGCTTCTGAGAGTCTGGCATAACTTCTTTGTCAATACTTAATTAACGCAGAGTTTTTTAGTACATATCTTACATTTTTAAGTGTATTTACTGAAATACTATTAACAGCTTTGCAGAAAGAAGTCTAGTGAAGTTCTTCATATTTAATGCAGTAAAATAAAACCTCATCTACATATACACACAGTGCACACATACACCAGAGGCATGCAGATGTGCCTAATCTCGATTGCATCCAAAAGTTTTCTTTCTAGAAGCAAGTGCCTTCCAGCTGTGAGTATGAATTAGAATCGTGTTGCAGAAATCCAATACCTTATATACAAGAAGTATATTTTCTTGATTTCTTCTTCTGGGAATTAATTTAAATAAGAAAAACACCTGTCATCTTGTCTGACAGCTGATGACAGCATTAACATCACTGAGTGACTAAGATGACAAGCTATCCGTACGCATCAACACATCAGCCTTTTATTGCTGTCTTGGGTATGCAGGAAACTTGTGTTAAGTGGTCTTTAACAAGGACTCATCCTGTTTGTCAGTTCTGTGACATGATTTTTGTGACCCAGGTCAGCTGAAGATGAGAAGATTGCAGTAGGTATTGCCTGTCTGTGTTCCACGAAGCTTGTCTGCAGAGATGGAAACAGATCAAAGGGCATGTTTTTTCATCACAATTCCTGATGGGGATTAGGCAAGTTTATATGAAAATTCCAACATTGCTAGTCAGAAACTGATTGTTCAGACTTAGGAAAAAATTTTCACTTGAAGAAACACAGCTTTTTTTCCCCCCCTTACATAATGTGAATTATTGTAGTTTTATCACTGTCATGTTTAACAACTGTAACTTTACAACCATGCTCTATTGAATGGGGAAATTACTAAAAGCACTGTGGGAGCTTCCCTTCAGTCTGAAACTTGCCTTTCATGTATTCAAAGTTTGGAGAAATTCAACATTTTGTTTCAGTAAAGAAACATTATATTCTCTAACAGTCTTCAATATCTCCTTCAGAAATTAACTATGATCTATTCTTCATTAACTGGTAAAGTAAATGAAAAATTGAATGTGTTGTATTGTCTTTTTTAAACATTTCATCAGGAAAATCTTGGCAAAATGTGCTTTCTTATAGTGCCCTGCACTTTATTTTTCCTTATATTTTTCTAGGTCAAGTTAGCAGTAAACAGCCCTATTCCAGCTTTTGTATAGAGCTAATTCTGAACTACAAATTCTCCTGTGCACATTCATGTGTTAAGGTTGGAGAACATTAAAAATCCCTACATTTTCGCAGCATTTTCCAGGGGATTTAGGGTCTTCCTGAACAAATGTTAAACACTAAACGATTAGAATTCATTGAAACAGTATAATTAGATTCTAGCCCCAAATCTAGATTTGTATTTTTCACTTACGTGCTCAGGTGAAGGACAGGCTGATCTTTAGGAAAAAAAAAGGACGGCCTGAGTTTATCATTGGAACAACAGCCACAGAAATAATTGCTCTCTGTGATTTTTCTCATGCCTCCTTGGAGAGACTTGGGCAGAAGCTGCAAGTGCAGTTTCTTGCTATTCCTTGGCCATATGCTCTGAGTGGGTTTGAAATCACTTATATTTAATTTTTTGTTTATGTTTGTTATTATGCAGTAATCCATAGCACTGAAAACATGTTCTAAATAAAACAGTGCTGTAGGTAATTAGTGGGAGAAATATTTCAAAACAGTATTTTTAATATAATGTTGCTTAATCTATATGGTGACTAGCATATTTGTTTGACTTTCAATGCATTCTCATTGTTTACCCGTATTTGCTTCATCAATTTCATGTTGCCTATACTTGGTCAATGTTACTTTTTTGCATTTAAGGAAATTTTGATGGGATTTTGAATGTTACATATTTTTATATTTTTCTGGTTTTATTAATATAAAGATTTGGGTTTTTTTCCTCTAGAAAGGTCCTAAAGGAAATCTCTGTTGGAAACCTAAAGCCTAATGAAACAGTTGAAGCAAATCTGGAAGCACAGCTACTCTCCAAATTAGACCATCCAGCCATTGTCAAATTTTATGCAAGCTTTGTGGAGCGAGATAGTTTCTGCATTATCACTGAGTATTGTGAGGTGAGACTGAAGAAATTTGGAAAAATATGTGTAAAAAATTAAAATAGAGTCTTCTAAGAAGCCATTTTAGAAAATGTTTTATTTTGAATTTTAGTTTTTATTTGTTGCTTGTGGCATCACCTGCTACTTGTTAGATGTGTTCCTTTCAGATAAGGAATGTTACCTGCTCATGTGAGATTCACAGACAAATAAATCAAAGAAGAAGAAACAGGTAATTTTAAGTACAAGTTCATTTGGTGTTGCAAGTGCTACAGGAAAGGCTTAAATTTAGACACACTGCCAGATCTGTGGGAGAACTCAAAAAGGTTGTACCACTGGTGTGAGATGTGCTACTGATAGGTGAGAGAGGGTGAGATTGTGGGCGTGGGGCACGATATAAAATCTGATATAAATGAGGAAGGGAAAACTCACTTGTGGATGCTGGTGAGAGCCAGGGAAAACAGCAGTTTGAGTTTTCCCAATCTACTCAAAGGAAAACCGAAGGGAAAGAATTAATAACAAAGTTTAGCACCTGGTGTTGTGGACAGGGGAACTGTGTGAGGAATTTAATGTTTTGGTAAGAGCATGTTTACAAGAGGTATTGCCTTCCTTGGACCAATGAGCTTATTCTATCCTTAATTCAACGAACTAGTCTATAAAAATGTGCCTACTCCTGCAATAAATCGTTTCTTCTACTTTCTGAATGAAGCCTGTGTTGCTGTACTTTTTCGCCACTCCCTAGCCTTACAGTGACAGCTTGTGATTTGGAGGTGATTACAAGAGCCTTATGCCTGGGTTTTGGCAGCAACATTGGCTTTATAAAATAAAAAACAGTGTGAGTCAAAGACCAGAGTGTAGTGGATACAACAAATATTAAAGCAGGATGGTCTACAGTATAGTTACCATTAATTTTTTGACTCCAGCATTTGGTTTAAGAACATACTTCTGGAATCTGTCTTAAAGATTTCAGATAAGAATTTAAGCATATTTAAGCCAGTTTTTTAGTAGTTTATACAAAACAAGCGCCTACTTTGTATTAAATATAGATGTGCTCTTTCAAAAAAAATCTGTCACACACACTTTTTATGAAAGTGTGAAGCAAACTCTTCATGTCTGCTCTGCTAGACATGCTGAAATGCTTGGGAAGATTATGAACTTAGATTACTGGGTTACCTGTACACAAATCAGATTTGGACTTAACTAATCACACTTCTTCAAGAATTTAGCTCTCATGGGAATAATTAAACAAGTACCATTCCTGTCATTTATTTCTTCCTTGGAAGCTTTCTTTGATGACAGTTAAATGCATATTTTTTGCTGGGATATTTAAAAATGAAATCTGAAATGTTCAGTTCTGTGATCCAATCTGAATATTTGTTCACATACTATTTTATTGCCCATGCAGAAGCTTTTTGTACCATTCCATGAATGTCTGACAGCTGGGGTTTGAGAATATTGTCAACTCTTTGAGGAAATCCAGAGCTCAGGACTGAAGGATTATTGTAACTGTCCAGCTATTCCCATGCACTCATAATTTTCTCTCAACTAGCAGTACAAATTGGCCCAATACCAGATCAGTTAAACAAGAATAAGGGAGCCTATTTCAGCAGCACTATAGTGTCTTTTATCTATCCACTGCTTTTTACTCTTTTTTTTCTTTTTTCTTTTTTTCTTTTTTTTTTTCCTGTTCATTTGGCATAAAGTTATAGGTGAATAAGAAAGAGCATAACAGCAGAGTAATTACAAGCATCACTCCTTGGAGCTTTGGGTTTTTTTATGCAGGCAATATAAACTACCCCGCATGGAAAAAAAAAATTACCGTAGGATCTGGGAGTCACATTCTCAAACAGGTGAGAATGTATTACAGCAAGGCAGGTGAAGTAAGAGGAGATGGATTCATTGGCTATGCACTGAATCTTTTCAGTTTTGAGTCTGCTAGGTGAGGTCAGGATGATACCTGGCCCAAGAGGATGTGCTTCTGACTTTTCCCCAAAGGATATGTTCTGTGATATCTTGCATTTATGCCATTACAATGTATTTCATCAAATGTTCAGACAAGAAAAAGTACAAAGCAAAGTTGCACACAGTGCTATAAAATTTATTTTCTGTTCTAGTGGGAGTATTTCCAGAAGGTATACTTTTGTATTTACTTATCTATAACTTGCCTTTGTATGTGGTAGGATTTGGGTGTTGTGACCTAAAAGATGCATGTTTAGACCATGCATAAATTGAGAATGAGAAAAATGTAGTGCTACCTGATCCTTGCTTGGAAGTCTAGTACGTTCAGTTTTTCATGCATAGAATAATTACCAGATTGGCAGTAATTGCTACTCTTGGGCAGGCTCAAAACAAAGAGCACACATTAAGTTGGCATGGAAACAGAGCTACCCCCCTGGGCACTATTCTGTTTTCTCCAAAGTACTGTGACTTATTCATTAGCCACGGTGCTTTGTTCATTCTGGCTGAGCAGCATAGAGTGAGCCTCCAGTGCAGCTGCCCAGTGCTATACCTTGTCCTGTGAAAGAAAAACAGAGAACATTGGTCTTCAAGGCTCAGCTTGGCATCTTTTATTACAACTGAATTAAATCAAAATTATTGAAAAGTGTATTTGTTCTGTTTTGATCTTACTAGTTGAGCTTCTTAGACACTTTTACCAAATCAAAATCTTATGGGTAGTATAAATATTATCAGCTCAGACTGATTTAAAACAAAAATGCCTTAATGAACCTTGGATTTCATTTTGTAGTACAAGTTTGACTTCAATAATATACAGTTTTTACGAAGCAGTTATTTTAAAAATAGCATCATTTTAATGTATTGTAAGGCAGAACTCCTTGTACTTTTCCCCCAGACAATTATTTATGTCTCTTGACTGTAGTCTCAGCTGTGATGTGAGTACACATATGCTAAGGAAATCTGAGCAAAAGGAATAACTAAAGCAGTCAATGCCTGTTCACGTTATCAGCTCTAGATGCTAAGCTGTTTTAAATAATGTACTGGTATATTTGATACTCTGATATTTAAATAGAAACTGCAGCTTGGAAACTCCATATGTACCTAATCTGTTAAACTGTTGAATTCCTTATGAACTTCATTAGACTGACCTTCCAAAAAGTGAAATTGGGTTAACACATTTTTTCAGAGTTTCACAGCAGCAGTATTTCAGCAAATTGTTTATGATGTGTTTTTGTTTTCCTTTTTTTAGACACAAAATCAAGGGTAAATTAATTGTAGGACATTGATACCACTCTTCCCTCCTTGAAAGTAAAAGGCTATGCAGTTATGTGAAGGCATATGTAGTGCATTATTCAACTGCTTTTGTTCTCCTTAGACCTTTTGCAGGAATTGTCCCTCAGCTTCAGAGTATTCACTGCCATAACTCTATAGGTGCTGCACCTTTTTTTTCTTTGCGTTTTTCATGGTAATATGTTATTGTGAGAGGGGACACACTGGGACAGAGAGAAATGGTGATTGGAGCCTGCTGCACTTCATCTGTCCTCACCTGGATAGTACACAGTCTCCTGAGGCCAGTAGCCAGCTGACACATGTATGAGCACCCCCTCAGTCCTGGGCTCTGGATGGTCTGGGCATCTGTCTGGAACAGTTTATTTTATAATAATGACTCATTGTTTTCGAGGTGCGTGAGTAGACTCAGTCACAGTCCATCTGTCTGCCATGAAATGGAGTACCCAGCAACAATTTTTCTTTCCTTCCTCTTCTCTGCTGCAAGGAACCAGGGGGAAGCTGCTGAACATTTGGAGATGCAAAGGGGAAGCAGCTGCTGAGAGTTCCAAGCTCCCAGAAGAGCTTCTCTCTGGGCTGCAGTAGGGCAGCAGATGGAGAGCTGAACCCATATTCCCTTCCCTAGTGTATGAGATGATTCAGACATTTCAATTTACAAATTGCAGGACATTGTCAGGGAACACATTTTTGGTAGATGACAAAACAAATTTGCTTTGTTTTAACACACTCACTTTCAAGTGTTGTAACTTAGAACCAGAAAGGCTATAGAAATTACTGTAAAGTCATGTCAGAAGCACATGAATATATAGATCTGCAAGGACAGAATCTGCTTTTTTTGTAGCAGCACTATGAAGCACTGTGGTGTTGGGAACAGAAAAACAAGAAATGCTGGACATCATAAAATGTCGAGAGTCAACAGTACAGAGGAGTAAAGGGATGATGATGGGAAATTATGGTACTGGTACAATTGCACTGGTGAAATAGTTTCTTGTATATGGCACATAAAACTTCTGATTTTATGTAGAATGTATGATGTAAAAGTAATGATTTATGGCTAATAAGCTGTCCTGACGTAAGGTAATTAGTCACTAGAATGTAATCAGGCTCACAGTCCCTTTGCTCTGAGGTTAGTTGCCTCAACACATTGCCATTAATGTGTGTGCATTCTTGTAGACAAAATTAATTTATTCTATAAACTGGATAAACAGTCAGCTGACAACCAGCTGTATATTTTTGAGCAAAAAGAATTGGTTTCCTGTAAGTCTCAAAATCCTCTTTGATTGTGTTTTTGTACAGCTGGTATTTCCAAATATCTGGATTGTAGTTTTCAAGTAGTCTTTTTCTGGACATATTTTCTGTTTTATTGGCACTCCCTGCTGTGTGTCCTATTGTTCCATTCCTAGTGCTACTTCAAGATCAATCGTTTTAATGAAGTATCACAGTAACACATGCGACATATTCTTGAGGCTTTAAATCTGCTTTGTTTCTGGCAAAAGTTTGAAAGGGGGTAAAGTAGCATAATTAAAGAGGCTCTATTTTAATTCTTAAGAGAAGAACATGGTTTCTTTGATGCTGACATGGGTATTATAACATAATAAATGAGTGTTGCTTGAGTGTGCAATGTCTGACTGGAGTGGAAATGCTTTTTTCAAATTTATTAACTTATTCACACCAATCAGGGCAGAATAATTTTACTTACCTAAGTGTCTATATCATAGCCAGTGATAGTAGGCCCTCATCGTAAATCTTGCAAAGAAACAGTGTTTCTGCAACATGATCCATCCCTTCCAAAGGTAGACAACTAGATGACAGAGATAATTGCACTAAACAGGTGAGTGTTCTTTTGTGTTGACTATAAAGGTTTGGGGTGACCAGCTCAGATGCTGAAGTTGGGTGATACAAAGGAAGAACAATTGGAAACTTTGATGATCTTGTATTACACTAAGAGAAAGCTACAAAGCCAGACTGGTTGATACCATTTTGATCCTCACTTGTGTATGTTTTTGGTGCTGGGAGAGTTCAGAATTCATGTGCACATGTTGATTTTACAGACCTACATGATAGGACTCCTGAAGGCCCAAGGAAGTGGGGTTCTGTACTATGATGAAGGAGATAGCTTTTGAAAACTTACTTTAAATGTACAAATATGTTGTGATATTTTTCAGGGTGGAGATCTAGACTTTAAAATTCAAGAGTACAAAGGTTCTGGGAAGATGTTCACTCAGAGTCAAGTAATAGACTGGTTTATACAGTTATTACTCGGAGTCAACTATATGCATGACAGGTACAGTCATTTGGTATGAGAGCATTGAGCTTGGGAGGGGAGTGAATGGACTTACTGACTAATTGGAGGTATTCAAACAGAAATGAAAGTTCTGCTCACTGAACTATTGTAGTTAGTTTATGTCAGGTACCTCAAGTGTGATTAATTATCTACCCTGCAGGAACATTGTGCATTATGTCTTTTAGCAGGACAATGGTAAATGTCTTCCAGCATTAGACATACTTTTTTTCAGAGACAAATGGAAAATGGAGCACCATTTGAAATAGTTCAATATTGTCAGAAGAAAATTGATTAAAAGGTTAAAAAAAATCCATCTTTTTAAAGGGGAATCAAGAAGCACATCCTGCACATATTTAATGTGAAACATCTAATATATATGCTTGATGGACTCCCAGTAAAATCAGTGGAATTACATACATGCATTCTTTGAAAAGAGATGTCACTTTTAACAGCACATCAAAGGTTAACTTAAAAAATTACCTCAGGTCATCCAGATATGAGGACATCACACATGGTTGGAGCACGGGTAGTGTATATAGATGAATACCTACCTGGTCATCTCCATGACTGTAGCTCTTGCCTGCAGTGTGATTTAGGCAGGCTGACTGCAATGATGGAAAGATTTCCCATATTCCCAATGTGCTGGACATGTACAATGCCTGTCTGGTCCCTTTCTGTGACATCTTTTGTAGGGCTTGGGCAAAATTTGCTTGCCTGAATTTTAGGTTCAACCAAGCAGTAGGTGGAGAGGTCACCTGTCATCAAGAACAACTGTTCCCAAGTTGAACTGAAGTTAAGTGTGTGTTTGACCTAAACTGATGGATGCCAAATGAATTTTTGCCAGTGTCAGACTCTAGAGGGAAAAGGGCAGAGTGAATTGCTGCCCAAGATACAAGAGCATTTTTGTTCCTAAATGCCAGTTTATCTAGGGCTTGTACATGAAATACTGCTCTGCCAGTGATGGGAGAACACAAAGAGAACTGTCTTGGGATGCTGTGCTCTTCAGCATTCACCTCAGGCCAAAAGGACAGAGGGAAGTGGAAATAAAAATCCTGACAGTTTAACTAAACTATCAGTGTGATTTGGTTTTTTTCCCTCTCTTGAACTTCAATTTATCAACTTATCATTAAAAGTTTTGGTGCCCTGAAAAGTCCCCTTTTGGCAAAATCCTTTTTTTAACATATGTGTTTAGAAGATGCATTGTGCAGAATAATGCAGCATAATAATATAAACATTACGTTTGGACTGAGGATCATTGTAGGCCCTTTCCAGCTGAAATACTTTATTTCATTCTGGGAGTTATTCTTTTTATCTTTCATATTCTGTATTTTCTTGTGCCTCTTTTATCTCTTCTCTCTATTTTACTTATCTTCTACTTACTCTCAAGCAAATCTTTAAAATCAAATAAGATCCTAAAAATAATCTTTATTTGGTATTTATGTATATAAAATTTGGTTTCCTGAGAAGTCAGTTAGTTCTCCAATTAAAGCAATTTGATTTTCCAAACAGGATTTTATTTTCTCCTTTTCAATCACAGCTAATAGTACCTCTCCAGATACTTAGAAATAACTTGACAATTTTAATTGATATATATTTATTTGTATTTTGTGTTATTTGGCTGTATGTATATTACGAAATAGATCTTTTTTCTTATAAGTATAGAGTCAAATGGAAGCTTAAATGGAAAAAGTTAGGCTTAAAAGAATTTAAAACTACCTACAGAAATTTGAAATACTAAAACATAATAGCAGCCCTCTGTTTCTGTATAGAGGAGTCATGCATGACTTCTTCTCCACTGACATGGAAAAAAGCTTGATATATGTTTGAATTATGTTCTAATGCAAGGAAAGCTTTTCCCTAAAATTAGAAGCTTCAAGTGTTTAACTCAGCATCTGTGGATGTGCGATTTTTTTTCCAGAGGAGCAAAAATTATTATTTATGGTTTTAAATATTCACTTGTCCTCCTTCCATAACTTTAGTCGAGCTTCCACACTTTTTGAAAACTCTTATGCTGGAAACTTAATGTAATATTTTTTAAAATTTGAAACTTGAAAACAAAGCTATCTAAAAATAAACAGATTCAATCCTTATCTGTCTTTGATATAAAGAAAGGGAGAAGTAAAAGAGAGACAGCACAGTTCAGTGGTCTTATTTCGGTGGAGACCTTTAGCATGAAAGTATCCTGCAGTCTCTTGTAGTACACATAGCTCATTGCATGTCAGTGCCCAAAATAATCCCACAGCAATCAGACAATGAGGCCATTGATTAATTTAACCTCAATTTGAATAAGGCTGACCATTATGTTACCCATAATTTTGCTAATCTTTATGAAGAATTTATGAACAGAGATTTTTATAATATACAGGGATAATGCAGGGTTCAGACTTACACAGAACCTCTTACTCTTCTGCAGAGTTCTTCAGAGAGAGGAAAGAGAAATTGATTGTGCATGATTTCACAGCAGTAATATACTTCAGCTTCCCTCAGCTTCACTTGCAGCTCGTTCTGTTGCAGGCAAAGCTTCATTCAAGGAGGCTGTACACTGCTCAGGTCTTGTCCTGTTCTTTTGTGACTGTGAGCCAGCAAGCAGCTACTCTACAGAATATGGGTATATGTACAGCCCAGATTTGAAACTGTTCTCAAGTGTTAATTTCTACCCCAAATAACCACTCAATAACCACTTCACTGTCCATCTAGTAGAGTTTTGCTGGAGCCCAGTTAATTTTTGTTGCCTTTATAGGTCTGTCTTTTCCTACAAAAAAAAGTTGCTCTCTTTCTAAGCTGTGCAGTGCAGGTTTGATATTAATTTTTTACTAATATTAAAGATTTCTTTTCAGGTAAGATTTCAGCTGGTGCCTTGTTTATCTTCAGATGTATGATAGCAGAATAAGTTGCATTGCAGTGAGAGATATCATCATGGAAAGCTGAAAAAAATCACCCCAAATATTTCTTTGTCATTAATATATAAAAGCATCTTATAATTATTGGTAATTCAAATAAAATATGTAACATTTTCATCATGTTGCAGGATTACAGTAACATTACATTGTAATTTAAACTAATGTGACCCAAACATGTTTTTTTAATCTCCTTTTCAAATAATATGCTACTGAAAGCTTTCTGGATCATTCTTTTACTTCAATATATCTGTTATTAAAATAATAGATATTCAGAAAATTTCAGGTTCAAAAATTCTGTGGTTATATTTCTGCAAAGGAGTATACTATTAAAAGAAGGTTGAAATCCACCAATTCTCAGCAACAATGTGCAAGAATAATTTAACTCAGTGAAAGCAAGTTCTTTCAAAAGATCTGTGTTATGAATGGTAAGAAAGTCCTTATGAATCTCAATTAACACAGTAAGATTTCTGTAAAAGTATGTGTGTGTGTACACCAACATATATATACACTTATGAAAGAATAACAAATACCACCTTAGTTTAATTTCTTTACTAATGTATTGTATGAGTGTATGTGTATTGCTCACAGAAGTTGTCAAATAGAGAACAAATTAGTTATAAACAATATTTTATAAACATGGCTGGAGGCATCTTGAGTAAAGCTTTCATTTTTTCCAATGTGCAAACCTTTTTCTAATGAAAGTAAAGGTATTGCTTTCAGGACAAAAAAAATGGAGCAAAAAGAAGTGAAGAAAGATTGCNAACATGTAGAGCACTTCCTTGAACCATAAAAATACGAATGTTTATTTTTCATGCCCAGTCTGTGTACCTACTGCAATAAATTCTAGTATTATTTTTCATGTTTTTTTCCATTTGTGAACTGAGTATATTGAATTGCGCATTTTTTTTCTTGTCTTGCAAAAAAAGAAATTGAAATTTTTGTGGACAAAATTGGGTATTTAAATTGTGCTGTAGAATGCATATTTTCTAATGTTAATATAGAAACTAATGTCAATGTCTAAGACCTTAATAATTCAAATTTGAGATAATTTTTGAGAGCTGCTCAAAAAATTGAAATTGAGTATTATATTTGTTTTTTTATGCTGTCAAAAATCTTAGAGCATCAGTTTCTTTCTTTACATGATCTAAATGACTGAATGACTACTGTATTTGCATTAGCAAATGCAGTTTCTATAGCCAGTATGTACCAAATGCTATTCTAATCTCCTCCTGATCAGGGCTGTGTTCTGACTAATCCTGTGTGTTAGTCATCATTTCAAAAGTGCATGTATTCTAGTTTAGGTGAGGTTATAGGCAACAATGCTTTTGGAAGCATTACGAACAATTAATTTAGAATATGTTTTGTATACTGCAGGGATACTTTGTTTTCTTTAGGGTCTGCAGAATTACTGTCACACATGTAGGACTTACAGAAATTAAGAAGATTCTATAGGCTGACATGATGTGTAGCTTATATTTGGTATTTTTAAACTCTGCTGGAAAAATAAGTTTGTAAAAGTTAATTGTTCTGTTCCTTTTCTTTTTCATCTTTGTAAAGTTCTTTCATCTTCCACACTGTTACTGTAAAAATTGAACTACTAGCTTAGGCTATATACATATTTGTCTTTTACTCTGTAGGAGTCTTCCCTTAGCTTTGAGAAACTCTTGTTGCCGTTTCTCTCATCCATTATTCTCTTGTGAGGCATTTATTCTCCTGGCAGAAAATAAGATGTAATGCTTTTAAGAGAAGTCAGAAAGGAAGACTTGCCTTTCTCCCTTCCTCTGCAGCTCATACTATGTCTCTATCTGTATTCTTAAGCTGGGATCCCCATGTATATTTTTATAATCCTGCTTAGGCTCTCACCCTGCATGTGGGTGCCTGTGAATGCACCTCTTTGAAGCTCCTTAATGCCATTCTCCATGGATTGTCACTGGCAGAGTAGACTGTAGCAGTGGTGGGCTGGCCTTTCTGAAAAGGGCAGAAGTTAAATACCTGAAAAACTTAATACATGACTCTGAATGCTTCCAGTTGGATGAAGCTGAATTTCCTTTTCTATTCCAGACGGATACTTCACAGGGATTTGAAAGCCAAGAATATATTTTTGAAAGACAATCTTCTTAAAATTGGTGAGATTTCCATACTTTTTAAAGGTATATTTTCCTGTGATAGAATAATCCAGCAGACATTTTGTCAATAAGGAGACTTAAAGAAAATCATGTCTGAAATAGCATTTTGATTTGTAGTCAAATATTTATTTGACAGTCAGACACAGAAGAGGCAGTGAAATCTCTAGCCTTGAGGATGCTTCAGGCTTGGCTGGACCTGGACCTGAGCAGCCCCATTTAACTTTGAGCCAGGGATTTGAATCAGATGACCTTGTGAAGGCTCTTCAAACCCACGTTGTTCTGTGATATTATGCTTTTGTGGTGTTTTTATTTTGAAGAATTACAGGAAATAGTTTTTGCCATTTTTATAGATACTAGCAGAATTTTCTGGATGTACAGTCACTTTATCATGTCTGACAATAACCAGAAGAAAGTTTATATGAATAGATATATGTTTATATTAATAGATTATTGTTTCTACTGATATTTTTAGGAGACTTTGGAGTTTCTTGTCTTTTGATGGGTTCATGTGATCTTGCAACTACTTTTACTGGGACACCATACTACATGAGTCCAGAAGTACTGAAGCACCAGGGATATAATACAAAATCTGACATTTGGTGAGTAGTCAAAATGCAATTTTGGTTGGATTAGGCATTTATCTCCATAAAACTTTTTCAAGACATTAGAATCAAATGTTGCAATTTGAAGCCTTGCCCTTTGTGTTAAGAAGCATGTAGCTGGCTTTTATTCTGGGTTATCTGTGACCTCAAAGGAGAATAAGATTCAGGACCAGTCTCTGATGTGATATAGGATGACTGTAGACAAAGTTCAGATTTTTCTAGGAAGGGAGAAATCTCTTTTTTACTCGTATTGGGATAGATTAATTGCGAGAAGCAACTTTCTGTGAAACTTTAGCTGGATGAGCAGAGTGATTCTGGCTGAGAGGATAGAAGAAGGACTTTCTTAGGAACTAAATTTAAAATCTTTGGCAAGTGTTAAAAACAAGAAAGTATTTGGAAGTGGAGCTGAAAATGAGAACAACTGTGATGTTAGAACAGAAAAAACCACAACCATTTTAGAAGAGGCTCAAAGGTAAAAAGAAAAGTTTCGGTTCTGCATTTAGATGGCCCAAATTCTTGAGATTGGGACTTCTGAGGTGATGATTAAAGGATCAAGTTTAGGAGCTGAGGTATGTTGAAACACTTTAGGAAACTTTTAAGTGTGCAGGTACTCTTCAAAGCTAAGATGAAGAATGAGTTTTTTGGAATGGCAAAAATATCTAGCTTGTTTATATGTGTGTCCTAAAGCATCTCATGTTTTAAGACTATAGTTAAAAGTGTTGAGCTTTTAAATTTTGTCATAGTATTTTATTTAAGCAACTTTGTTTCTTTTATGACATGTTTTGTTGTTGTTTTTTCTTTTTCTGTAGGTATGTATATCTACCTTCTATCTATATCAGAAGATTAATTTTTTAATAAATATTTCAGTTCTTTCGTAAAACATTTGGCCCCTGGGATATAGTTTGATTGCTTGGTAATTTACTCTAGCTTTGTCTCAGTTCTGCCTTTTCAAAATATACTTGTGGCTGCAGGATATAATTCTAAAAGTGGAGGACAGCCATCTATATTATCAAATGTTAGCAACCATCTTTCACAGTTGACATATTCAGTCCAGTCAATGGATATGCTAGGAATCTAATCTCATGGCCTGTGTAGCTGACTGCTATGGATTTGATGTCAGATTCTCTCTTGTTCTTCTGTAGCAAATATCAGTCAATAAAAATATATTGGGAGAAGATTTCAAAAGATGTCAAAACAAATGAATAGACAGGGAAGCCTGCCTTTCATGCTCTTCTACTGTAAGGAATAATTTCTTTTAGTGCAAATAAAAAGTAAAATACATGTTTAAGTTCTATTTGTGGTTACTAGTGTCAATCCATGTAGGTCATTGAAGTTGTATAGAGTAAGCATAATCAGTTTGGTCCAATACATCTATAAATCATGTGTTGATCACCCTTTCAAAATTTACAAAACACAGAAAAAACACCCCCTTTCCCAAACTCAGTAGCTGCCAGCTTTCTGCTATACTTTCTGCCTTTTGTGATCTTCCCAAAGCATTACCAAGAGCACTCACCTGAGGGTGAAATTGCCTTCAGCAGGAGCTTCTTGGCCCTCACTGTAGTGGCACTAAGGAGGAGGTGTGCCCTCACTCAGTACTTCCCCAGCCCACAAACTTCTTTTTTTGAGCCAGGAAACTCTTCTGATCAGGGCTCGTGTGTTTGATTGATACTTTCGTCTTTTAATCTTTTAATACTGATTCTATTTGATGTTTTTTCCCACTGTCCCCATTTAACAGGGGCCAAAATACAAGAGGACACTGAGCCTACAGTGGAGCCCACCCTGGAGGCTCCAGGTGAGATTAAGTCCTTGGGCTCCTGTGCAGGAAGTTTGGCTGCTCATGAGGAATCAAAGACTCATAGAATGCTTTGGGTTGGAAGGGCCCTTAATGATCATAGCGTTCCAACTCCCCTGGTGTGGGCAGGGACACTTTCCATTAGATGAGGTTGCTCAAAGCCCCATCCTTGAACTCTCTCTCTCAGTTTGAAGTTGTTACTCTTTGTCCTATCATTACATGCCTTTGTAAAAAGTCTCTGGCTCTCTCTCACTTTATGTACTGGAAGGTGCTCAAAGGTCTCCCTGGAGCCTTCTCGTCCCCAGCCTGTCCTCATGGAAGGGGTATTCCAGCCCTCAGATCATCTTTGTGTACCTCCTCTGGACTTGCCTCAACAAGTCTGCATCCTTCTCCTCTTGAGGGCCCAGAGCTGGATGCAATACTCCATGTGAGGTCTCAGAATAGTGTAGAGGGAAGAACCTCCTTCCTCAGTCTGCTGGTCATACTGCTTCTGATGCAGCCCAGGATGTGTCAGCACATGTTGCCAAGTCATGTTGAGCTTTTAATCAAGCAGCATCCTCCAAGTCCTTCTCCTCAGCTCTGATTTCAATCCATTCTCTGCCCAGTCTGTACTTGTGGCCTAAGTGCAGGGCCTTTCAATTTCCCTTGTACTCCATAAGATTGGCATGAACCCACCTCTCAAGTCTGCCAAGGTCCCTGTGGATGACAGCCCTTCCCTCCAGCATGTGGACCATACCACACAGCTTGTCAGCAAACTTGCTGAGGATACACTCAATCCCTCTGTCCGTGTTGCTGACAGAGATGTTAAATAGCACTGTTTGTTGACCCCTGAGGAATTTCAAGGAGCTGCCCAAGTGTTTTATATGTAGCTGAAGTGACATTTTCTCTTCAGACTTGTCGTTCTGATCTCTAGCAGGACTCAAAAATTCACACACAAGAATTCAGACTTCCAAGTGTTCCCATGTTAAATGTAAGATAATGTAAAATATCTTCTGGAAAAGACAATTAGTGCTATCTCACCTTTTATCATGATCCTCTCACTGTTCTGTTCAGTTCATTGAAAAGACCTTAATTTATGCTGCATTAATGATGTGCGCTAAAGAGACACTGTGCTTTTCAGGTTCACTGAAACATTCTGCACCTGGCTTTTCAAAATTGGCTGGAATATTCACAGTGCAACAGCTGGTGCAAGAAGTATTGTCCTTTATAGCCCGAAGTCGATAGATGGGGAAAAAGCTTCATTTTTTACTTTTTTTTTTTGCTAAGGAAGTTCTGCAGTTGGGCTCAGAGAAATGGCAGCATTAATGTTTTTCTTCAGTTGAAATGTCAGGCCTGGAGTTCTTTGTTATTCTGTGCTTTATATCAAATCTAAATTCACAGGAGGCAAATTAAAGTTGGCTCACATCAGCATCCCTGAGCCTGGACTGGCCGGGCCATGAGAGCAAACCTTTGCAGTGACACAGTGCGGGGTTTCCTCCTTTCCAGACAAAAGCTTCTTCAGGGAGCTGGTCTCAGTTCACCAGCCCTTCTTCCATCACTGCTTCCCCTGCAGATCCATCAGACAGAGAGGAGTCAGAGCAGTGCTGGCAGCTGGGCTGAGACACAGAGAGCCCAGGAGGCCAGGCTGGGTCAGGGCTCAGTCAGTGATGTGTGTGTGTGTCAATTGGGGCTCACTGGTAGCCCAGCACAGCGTGACCCCGAGGCGCTGCTGTGCCACTGTCCTGGTGTCCCTTCCTGCCCTCACACGCCCTGTGGGGACACCAGTGTTGTTGGGGCTTGTCTGACATTCCCATGCTTCCACTGCTATGGCAGAGACAAAGCAATGTCACAATCACATGTAAATCCATTTTACTCTGTCTTCCATCAATACAGTCAGATCTTGACAGATGGTTTGTCTGTTGTGTTTGGATAAATTGGGCTACCCACACCACAGATCTTGAGTATTTAATTTTATTCTGCTTGCTTGTCTGTGCTTTTCCCCCACTTCGTCTTTTTCTTTAATATTAACAATCAAAAAATGAAGAAATGTGAAGGTGGAGGGGATGGGGCTGGGGAAGACAGCAGCAGGGAGTTCTCATTTAAGGGCTGATGAGTGAGTATTGAGGAATTTAAATTCAGAGATATATTCCTCACAGACTCTTAAGACCTTTTGATATGATCAGGCTAAGAGATACAAGCCATAAAGGTGTATGCATTTACATTATCTGACTTTTGAAGCTGAATTTAAAGCTAACTTGTATCTTATAACATTTGAAGAACTGTAACATTTTTTACAAAAGATCAGAAGATGTTAAAGGGATAATAATATTTATGTAAGCAACACCAAAAACCTCGGGGTGGTTTCTCCTAAGAGGGAGAAGTTAGAGGTCTGTCAGTTGAGACTGGGAAGAGCACACTGAAGCCTTTCCAGATGCTCCATTTTATAATGCAATTGAGCATAAGTAGCTTCAACATGAATTGATCATGCCACAATTTTACTGAAATTATGTGCTGTTCAGGAACTTCATCAGACCTGTTCGTGAATACAGGGAGCTGTCAAACCAAATGTGCTGGCTGGCTGGTTAAATGACCATTTTAGAATTTTATAACATGGCACTTATGCAGGCTAAGATTATAAAAGTAATTAAATTATATGTTTGGATCATGTACAGATTGCTTACAGGAATTGGGAAGCAATTTCCTCTTGCTTCTCACAAGGTGCTTAGACCAGAAATGTCAAAACACAACTGAGAAATGCAGTTTTGAGCCAAAAGGTTGTCTGTTACTTCTTTAGGTGTTTGCAGCTGAGCAGCTGTCTTGGGAAGAAATTTTCAGGAACCCAGGGCAGCATTTCTCAGCTTAGGAGATACTTATTTAATTTCAAAGATTTTGATCCTGCAGAAAGAAACTTTATTCTTTTTCCTTCATTTTTTCTCTACTTTCCCCCCTGTTTTTTCTTTCATGGGACAGATGGGATTTTCCCTGGGTAGCCTGTTCACAGCCCTGGCTGCAGCAGAATGCCCTGGGCATTCTTTTCAGCTTTCTCCAACTCAGGTGTAGTCAGCGTACTAAACTAGATGAATAAATCAGCTTCCCTGATGTGTCAAATCCCATGTTCCTGATGGCTCATAAAACAATTTCTAGCTGCCAGAATCAAGCAGCTTCCAAAACAGATTGATTCTGTAAAAAGAAGTTATAGTATAGTCTGTCAGGTTGGGATTTTCCTTCTTTTTTCCTTCTTTTTTCCTTCTCTCTGGCTAATCTCCATTTTTATTTGATGCTTTCAGATGCTGTGTGCATAGGGGTTTTTTGTTGTTCCTTTTGCTTTAAGTATTTTCTCATGTAGTAATTATCTTGTTTCAAAGTCTGAACATACATCATAAATACAAATTATCATCTGTGTCTTACTGTTTACTGATTTTGAAAGTTTGAAAGCTGTTTGACAGCTAAATCTTTAAAAAACCTAGGTAGCTATGTATTTACCTCAGTAGTTGTTCTTTAGTTGGTTCTTAGCAAAAATGCTCTGCTAATGGTTCTCACATACTTGCTTGAAAAGTACCAGTGGGTGGAGTCCCCCTATTCTCTTTCTCTTCTTCCTTATTCACTATGAATGTAGAGCCTGGGTTTCAGCTTTAAAATTATTTGATGTTGTTCTTTTATTGTCAGATAGACCAAAACAACTCCTGTTCTTTAACCTAAATGAATAATTGAAACTTTATTCATTATTTGCTTTCAAAGATTTTTATACCCCTTTCCTGAAAGCCATTCACCCGTACTTATTTCTTACCATTGTGCTTTGCTTTCTTACTTCTTCTGGAATCACAGATTAAATTATAAATACCACAGTCAAATATAAAGATATTTAAACTGGCTGCTTAGATGAGCCTCAACCTGTATGTGGCTCTCACCATCATTTTCCATGACCTTGATCAAGTCAGTCATTGATCAAGTCAGAGCCCCTGACTGGAGAAAGAGCTGAACATCTTCCAAGGCCTGCAAAACTCAACGTTTGTCAGACAGAACTGAGCTGAAGTGCAAACTGTTATGTCCTTATATAAAATTATTGTGAGAGTGTTTGTTTTAAAATGTTCAACTTGGTGACCTTTTATGATGGCCGTTAGAACTGGTGAATAATACATACTATTCTTATTTGTTTATTCTTTAAGGTCTCTGGGATGCATTTTGTATGAGATGTGCTGTATGAACCATGCATTTACTGGACAGAATTTTTTGTCTGTTGTGTTAAAAATTGTGGAAGGTGAAACGCCTTCTCTTCCTGAGAGATATCCAAGCAAACTGAATGCTGTGTTTTGCAGGTATGTTTTTTTCTTATTTAGTAGGCTTTTCAGTAAGTTTGGACAATTGCTTAATTACTATTTTTGGTTTTTAATGTTTCAGCATGTTAAATAAGGATCCTTCATTGAGACCAGCAGCAGCAGAGATCCTAAAATCCCCTTATATTGATGAACAACTGAAGGTATGTCAGAAAAAGCAGCAGCTGAGCTGAGCCATTTGAGTACATATTTTGCAAGAGCAAAATGAAGGCAGGGAAAACATGTTGGGAAAAAATAATTTGATAGCTGCTGATGGGAGCATTAATCTGGGTGATTTTCAGAGCTATAGTACAAATACGACTGAGGAATGAAACCCTCATCACTTGACATGCGGAATGTATCCCCTCTTAAATGTTATGAGCAATAAGAAAAACAGACATTTATGCATAAAAAGTGTAGATCACTTGGGCCTCGGTACATATATAACTGTTGTGGTTAGTCACAGTTTTAATGAAAACCAATGCCTTTTGCTCTTTTTGCCCAGACTTCAGTGCCTGTGTTATTTGGCTTTCTGAAAAGGTGGGGAAGAAAACTGCTCAGTCACTTTTTATATCAGGATGGTATTGGGTAATAGCTGAAAGATTCTGGATAACTTTAGCATCAAGTTGATACATCTTCTGTGTCATTTCCTTGCAGAAAATACAGTACAAGTTCACAAACATAACTGTGAAAGATAAGGCACTTAACTGGCAGAAAGAAACTGCTCCCATTTTTGGTACTGTGTAAGTATTTCTTGACAGTTTATGGGCAGTAGTATATGAAATGACAATGTTGCCAAATAATGCCATTAAAATTTGTGTCAATCTCATAGTGCTTTATGTTTAGACAAACTTATTTGCAGATGAAATACTTTTATTATGTGACTGTGTAAATTGCACATGCATGTGCAGTATATGTTATGTTAATACCAATTGATATGTAAATAATGACATTTGTCTTGAAATTTTGGAGGTTTAAGCTGTTGTTTTAGTTAGGTCATCCTCATTTATAGTGCTGCTGTTTCTGTACCTACTAAAAGTGGAATGTGAAAGCTGTGTTTCCTAAATGACACAAAACTAAAAGCATATGCACTTAAACTAATATTAAGCTAATGCTTCTGTAGGATACTGTTATTTTTATCTTGTAATTTCAGTGAGAAATCAAGAGTAGTGATGTTTCTTGGCTCTTACATAGCAGTGTCTTCACACATGATCTTAGGCACCAAATATATATTGAATTAATTAATTCAATTAATTAATTAATGCTGCAATGTTTAAAGCAAATTCCACCGTGGACATTTTCATTTTGCCTCTGTAAATTAGCTCTGCAGTTTCATGGGCAGCTCGCCCTCCCCTTTGCTCCCCATCCCAGTGTTTTCTGTAAAGGTTTTGTTCTGTTGGGAGCTATCAAGAGCAAAACCAGAAGTTTGTGGTCCTGTGAAGAAGCGATGAACATCCCTGTTTCTTGTTTCCTCTAAAGAACTGTCAAGATTTTATCAGCTCTCTGATATTTGTTTTAAATTATTAGGTAACAGCAACAAAGATAATCCAGAACTGGAAGTGCCTTTGAGGCTGTAGGACATTCACCTTTGTTTTTTGTGATCTCTGCTCTTGTACAGGACCCACATTTTTGCAGCTGTGATCACTTTGCAGAATGCTGCCAATTCTGCATCTTGCAAGCCTCCCTTCAGGAGAGGTGACCACCTTCAGCTTTTCCAAACAAAGTGTAGTTTGTTGTCAGTGGTAGGAAGAAAGCAGAGTACAGACAGTTGAATTCAGCATAGCAAAACCTTTTCATATCATTTTACTCAGTTTAACTGCTGTCAGTGTATCTGTACACTGATAGCAGTGTACAGATCTCTGCACGCTCTCATCTCTGCAAATTTTGTTTTGGGTTTCTACTCGTCGCTTCTGTCTTTAATCTGTCTCTTGTTGACAGATGAGTTTCTGTCTTTTTGTGAGGCCGAAATTTTCTATTGTAGTATGAATAAAGTATAAATAGTTCACTGAACTTTGCAAGCCTTGATGTAAAATGAAACTATAAATAGATATATTCAAGTTAATATAATTAACTTTGAGTGGATTCCTTCCTTTTCAAATTAAATATAGTTAACTACAGAGATATTCCTTAGAGATATACTGTAAATAGTTTTGGGGCACTGAAATGTTCCCCAGATGATAAGCCAAGTCTATCTGAATTATATTCAGTATTTAATGCTTGTTGAAACATAGATGATGAAAATCTTCAAGAAACTTTTAATTCTTGCCTTTATCTTGTGGGAACAAGATTTCAGATTATCTATATGCACCAAAACCATTGTATCTGCTTTGGGGAAGCAATATTGTTACTTGCAGAATATATATCCAGACTTCAAATATCCTCATGCTTCTAGAGGAGACTGATAAAACCACTTCGTAAAATATATATTGTATTCTGTACCTGATCCACTGTCATTAGCTAGAATATATTGAGTCTCATCACCTTCCAAATGGACCTAATTTTCTGACAGAGCTAGCATGTGGGGAGGACATTTATGGATACCCCAGAATCTGTAAGCATATTTTTTCAAAATCAAGTTTGTAGTCTCTAAGAGGAAGAGCAAGTAGTTCTAACTAAAACCACCATGCTCTTATATAATTGTTAGAAGGAAATAAACAGTCTGCTTCTGTGCAGAGGCATGGAGTTCCTAGGAATTGTGAAGCAGTGAATGGCAATTTGTCTTGAGATTTTAAAATTCAGGGCATCAATTAGAGAAAAACATCCTAGGAGAAGCTTTACTGTGACTTATCCTCACTTGAGCTACAGTGTGATTATTTTTGGCCAAGTGTTTGGAATATGCAAAAAGTCATAATCTTATAATGACTCTCATTGTACTTATGGGAACATTAGCTGCCTGTATTGTCACTGGTAAGCAAAATGCCAAATAATTCCTGCAATCCCAGGTCTAAAGAGGTAGGCAAAATGAACTAAAAATACCTGAAAAATGACAGAGAGCAGAAAAGGGGAGGAGAAAAAAAGTAAACGTAGTGAATTCCCCACATCTGGTGTCTTGCAGCAATACTCTAGTCCCAGTGAGTGTACAAACAGTTGCTCACTATGGTGTTCTCCTCAACCATTGCTACTTTGTATTTTTGTTTCCTTTTTTCTCACCAGGAATTCTCTTTGCCATGCAAAGCAAAAAGATTGAGTCTAGTTTCTTCTAGTAACAGCCTCTGATGGCTTATTTTAATCTATTCCCATTCAAGTCATAAATTTTAAATATTTAAGTAACTATAAGGCTGTACAAGTTCAGTTTCGACTTGAATGAAAAATTGCTTTTTTCCCCCATGAGATTCTTTTAATTTAAATTAGAGTTTTTTACAGGAGACAAGAAATATGTCTACATTATTCATACTTGAAGAGTTAGTTCCATTCTTATGAATAATTGAAATCTTCTTGTCTTTGTCCTTCATCTTTCATATTTCAAACTAATATTCATATTTTTTGCACTATTTGAAAAACATAATGAATCTTCTCTGCTCATTTATTAAAATCCTGATTTCCAAATGATAGTCCAGAAGGAGTGTTACAATTTGTATGGTTACAAATCTGGCCTCTCAGATTATTAGAAGTGAATTTATCTCATAAGAGCAAAAACAGTAATTTGAAATGAATACTTGGTGTTATAAATACATGGTATAATAGATATATATTGTGTAAATGAAAGGAGACTGCCAAGGCATTTCAAATTAGGCTTTAATTTTTGTTTTAATTATTGTAGGATGTGAGATAAAAATCTGAGATTAGGATTCTTTTTCTGATAAAGGACTAATATTGCTCTCCTCAGTTGATAAATACAGCTGAAATATGTAAGTCAATAATTAATGCTCAGCTTTCAGAGATGGTCTATGGAGACCATTTTGCCTGTGAACTCTTATTATTGATTAGGACCAGAAATTCAAGAAGACAACATGATAATTATATCTGTCGTTAAGGACACATAAATATTCTCTTTTATTCTAGACAGCTTGTAACAATCAATGTAAAATGTACAAGCAGTATTATGGCTCTCATTTAAAGATTGTCTTTGTACTTGGAATATGCCCAATAATGATGCCTGACATAGTAAATACTTCACTGTGCTTCAATATTTATTCTTTTAAGGAGATGAATCTCCGTTTTTCTATCATCACCTGAAATGATTCACCTTCTTCACAAATCCAAGTTTAAATATTTCAATTTAAAGAGGTATTTGCTTACCCAATGAAAGTCTATTTTGTCTGCTATAGTTCCAGAGACTTTCTAATTATTCCATTTTAAATGTCACTGTTTCAATATCCAGTCGAAATACTGAATATTTACATTTATATATGAAGATGGGTTTGCTTGCATTCAATTTCAGGCAGAGGAAAGTTCATTTGCAAACTCTGCAGGAACTTTCTGAAGTTCAGAAGATGACACCGCGGGAACGAATGCGGCTGAGGAAGTTAAATGCTGCAGATGAGAAAGCAAAGAAGTTGAAGTAAGTTGTACCCTAACCATGCAATTTTCCCCACCCAACAGTCTAATGGGAGAGTTAGAATTGTCAGGGTAGAAATAAAAATAGTGTGGGTCTTCAGCTACTCAAAGTCAATGAGGATTTTGGATGACAATAAATCATGCTAATTATTTATGTAGGAAAAAAATTAGAATGTCAGTCCAAAACTGGTGCTTAGGATACCATGGTTCTGGTTAAATAAGTATATGGGAGATTTTCAAATGTGTTGCAGTAGGAGACTATTTTTAATGACTGTTGATGTTGAGAATTGCATGGTCTGAGGAGTCGGACATCTAGTTACAATCCAGCTTTTGTCAATGATTTTGACCTCAGAGGTTTTCCAATAGAAGTTAATAGCTCTGAGGATAGGTAGTCTTGTCAAAGGATCAAACAGGGATTATGGAAGTGTTGTAAAGTCTTTATGACTGATGGGTTTTTTTATTAAGTGAGACATAATAAAATGGTTTGGAAGAGATTAGATATTAGATGGAATATGAGAAACAACTGGAAGGCTTTGTTTGAGGCTTTTAATAAAAAACAGAATATACTGTTTTGATGACACATTTGAAGCAAAGAACTAAGACCTTCATGACCTTTTGGAAAATATGTCTGAAGAGCACTTGTATCTGACTGGCATTTGCTACATAATTGATTCTCATTCAAAAAAACCCTCTCCTTGAACTGAAACCACTGTATAGAAAGTATTAAATTTAACACCTCTTCTGTTGGTGCTTTCAGTAATTGGCTTTTCAGCCAATTCTTGTACTAGTACGAAATTTGTAAATAGGAGGTCTGTCTCTTTCACTTTTTAAAAATGAATGGAGATTAGAAAATAATACTAACTGTAGGATTGTTCTAGTTTGGTTTTCATTTTCATTACTTTCTTACATTTTGATGTTGTCTGATGAAATTTTCATGTCTTTTCTTTCCCCCAAAACCAAAATGAAATATATTTGTTTTGTGATATGAAGGCAACGTTAATATTCAAACCTTGTTCTCAGTCATGAATCTTTAAAATGGGTCGACATTGAGCTCTAGATCATTGTCAGCTGACTGGCTGAAAATGTTGGAAACGATGCAAAAATTATACCTTCTCACACTGGAGATCTACTTCCAGCAGTGCAAATCTAGAGATGGGTGGGAAGGGAATATATTAATGGAAGCTAGAAAAACTGCTTAATGTAGCACCTGTCTTTAGCAGAACACAGAAAACCATGGTTACTAATTGTGCCCCAGAGGAAGAGTTCATAGCACACAAATGCTGCATGCCTGTCTACAGCACTTCATGTCCCTGCACTTCATGGTGGAATAAAGCCCTAACTATTGAAGACCTTTGGAAGAGCTACAAAAGACTGGCACTAATAATTTACTATTTCATAATTATGTTATTTAAGTTGTGAAAGTAAAATATAATAGAGTTTGGAAATAAGGTCTGAAATCTCTTTTTGTGTTCATTGAAACGTGAGTAGATGCCATGAATATTTGGCAATATGAAAATCTCAGTACAGAATTTGTTTTTCCCTGCCTGCTTTTAGAAGATCCCTTTGTGCATGCCCTGATATCATATTCTAAATACAAGTGTTCTGTATTTACAGGCAGCTGGTAGAAGAAAAATACCAAGAAAATATCAAAAGAATGCAAGAATTCAGGTCCCGTAATTTTCAGCAGCTGAATGTCAACATCCTACATGTAAGTATGGGCTGTTGTTTTAGAGGTCTCATTTATGTGCACCCAGTGTATATAATTTTTCTGTTTCCCATATGGTTTCTTTAGCACTAGAGGCACAGGCCTGTTCTGAGACTTATAACTGGGAAGTGCATCAAAATCTGGACTGCTTAGCTGAACTTGTTGATCTGTGATGAGGCAAAGTACATTCAGTTATTCAATATGGTTCAACAAGCTCTCTTCATTGCATAGTTTTTTAAGTTACCCTTTCTTAATTTACCCTTGAATCTAAATCTGCTCTCTGAAATGTTTTTACTGACTATATGACATCGGAGTTCAAAATACATTTCTTTTCAAGATATCTAGAATTGTAATCCTTTAAACATTTTAATTTGGCATGGCCATGGGTTCTTTTCATTTGGTTAAGCATAGTAACACTTCAACCGGCTTTCTAGTAAGAATGAAGCCTTGGAATGACTCCCAGAATAAGTTGCCCTTTGCTTTTAAGCTATCTGCAACAGAAGGTGAGCCAGTTCAATTCTAGCACCACATCCTATTTAGAAAGAAAAGGGTCAGTTTGGAAATAGTTGGTGAACGCATCACAGAAATAATTTTTTGTGTGCTTTGTATTCTATCTTTTCTTTTGCATGTCTTCTGATTTCCATTTTTCATTGTGTCTAGAGAAAAAGATATATTAAACCTGCTTCTTCTTATGGCTGAATCACTACTGATCATTTACAAAAATTTTAGGATTTTATTTTAGTATTTGCCAGTCCCAGGAATTGTGTATATCCGGGTAACCATTGTGTTGTGATCCCACTGAAAGCTCTGTTCTTGTTTCTCCATGCTGCTTCATCATTTGACTAAGGAATCTGATGAGCAGACTTCAAAACACCTCGTTCCAAATCACCTCATTCATTCTCAGCTAGCCACTACGGGCAGCTGTGTGTCCACAGGACATGATGAGCCACGAGGGAATGGGATGAGCGAACTCGGCATGTCTGAACTTACAGACCACGGTAAGGATTCAAGGTCTGATCTTAAAATTACAATTCCTATCAAGAAAGAAAGATTTGTCCCTTGTAGTTTGTATGCGGTGGGGAAACTGCAGTTTGTGGTCAGATTTGTAAAAAATTTTACATTCATTTGTAAATTAATAGTATTGGTCAAAAAATGGCGAAGAGAGAAGGAAAGTAATCTGGGTGAATGTATGTACAGCAAATGTATAGCAAGGTTATGTGGCGGGAGGTCTGTGTTCCCAAAGTCTGAGTGACTTGGGAACAGAGATAGAGGTGAATATACTTCCTCCAAAGGAGATGCTGAATTAGAAGGAAATAGCTTAAACTTTCCACATATGAAATGACTGGCATCAGAAAAGCATTTTCTAACTTTCCTCTCCAGGGAAAAAAGGTGTACAAGAATTCAAAGTGTTTGCACCTTTGACACACTTTGATGCCATTTTCTTTAACAATGAGAGAAGCAGATGGAAACTCTTTAAACTGTGCTTATCTATATTGTCCACAAATGGTTAGCTATTGTCTAAAGAATATGAAGAATATAAACAAATAATATAAAAGAATATATAGCATGTATTTTTCTGTTATAGACAAAAAAAAATAGTCAAGCTTTCTGAAAAGGGTCAGACTGGAATCTTGTATTTAATGAGAATAATGTTTTTAAGATCACATTTATATGTTTTTGTCTACAATGTTCTGGAGTAGTGTCTTATTCTTACATATTTAAAAATCATTTTGTGAGCGTTATTATGGTGAAAGATATTTAATCAGATTAGAATCTTGCAAATATGCATCAATATACTTTAAAGTAGGAAGACTACTTTTCTCTAATAGCACTGTCTTTTAGTGTTGGTTTATATACATCTGTGAAAGTATAGGTCATTAAACTAAAGGCATCAGAATCAGTTTGCTTGTGGTGGAGGTGTTTTGGCTTTTTTTCATAGGAAATGGTGCATTTTTCTTTCAATGTGCCCTCATTTGTGTCTGTGGTTGGCTTGCTGTTTCACAGTGTCAGGAGAGATGACCTGTGTGGGAGAGAACCCAGCTGCTAGAAATACATCCTGAGGGGAGGGTGGGGAAACGTGCAAAGGAAGGACTGAGAGAAAGCAGTAAACGTGGGTGAGAGATGGACTGGGAGAAGCATACAAAGACTCCTAAATAGAAACAGAACAACGTGCTTGGAAGGAAAGAAATGGATTTTTCTGCCTTTAGAGGTCATTAAACTGTTAAACTATAATGACAGGATGAGATGTATTTATATCTGTGATGCAAAAGCTGGGTCAGTCCATTGTACAAAACTGAATGCATGTTTAATTGCTTGTGCCAGAGTTTCTGACGGAGGAGTGGTAGGTTCATGACAAAAAGGAGTTATGGATAGGAAAGAGAAATTACATGGTTTCTCTTCTTTGCTTTGTGAGTACCTTGTTATTCCTGAAGCTGATGTCACAGCTTGTTCTTACTCTATTCAGTATTCATGCTCTTCTTTTCTTTAAGCATTTCAGTGCAACCATGCATATCCTACATGTCTAATTATGAAGTTATTAATTGCACCTTTGTATTTGAAAATGTAGAAACTGTTCCGGCTATTGATTTTCCAATAGAATTTTGTTCTTGATCAATGGCTATACAATAATAAAAGAAAAAAACTAGAAGCAAGTCTATAAAATTATTTTAGCAAGTTGTCTTTCACGTTAATTAATCTTGCTGACCCTTACTATGTTAACAGAAGAAGTTAGCATGTGAAAACCAGACTAACAAGCTCCCTAGTTACAACTAATAACTAAAAACTGTTTAAGAAGGAGAGAAAAGGCAGGAGCAAGATTTAAATTATCAGAGCAGGCCTCAAACAATCCTCTCAAGAAAAGCTGAGGAGGAACAACTAGGGAGAGTACCCCAGACCCAGCAGGTACGGAGGAAAGGTCAGAGTATCTGTGGCTCACAGCCTGCAGTCCTTCTAAAATTTGCAACATGAGCTGAAGAGAAGAGCGGGGTTTGGAGTATTGAAAGACCAAGCTATTAATGCAGTAAGGAAAGGAATAGAGAATAAAACAACTTGCACTCCTCTTCAGTGAAAATCATCTAAACCATTATGAATCACAGTTGTATGTCATTGTGGAAGGTGACAAATACGAAGCTTAAGGTTTAGCTTTAGTAAGTAGTTTTGAATACTGTGGCATCTTGAGTCAGATTTAATAGTGGTAGTTACACTTAACTGAAAGTTGGGAAAAACATGACAGTGTAGTTAGATAAAAAAACCCACTATGGTAGTTTGGGGTTTTGGACTTCACAGTGGACAAGTTTTAACAATGGCAAAAGCATTCAACTGCTATAGACTTCCCTAGGAAGTTTAATCTTCTCTCCATGTTTGTTTTATGTAATCAGCAATGACATTCTGAACATTTTTTATTCTAACTAGTAGCCTTGTGCACCTGAAAGACATTTGAAAGAGTTCTTTGAAATCACCTATAATTGACCAATTTGTTAGTCTTCAAGCATATTTATTTTCTAGAATATGAAAGATGTAGAAAGAGTGGACCCTGTGGTTTTGATGTGGAGATAAACTAATTGAACTGCAGAAGATCTTCCTCAAGACTGTTTACAGCTGGTACAAGTTCTTGAGAACTGAAAGAAATTCTCTTATTCTTATTCCTAAAGAGAAATGCTTCAGGCAACATAAATACTGTTTTTTAAGCATTTTAAAGATGCATTGCCTTATTGCCTAGCAGCCTAAGTACTTCTCCTGTGTATAAACCTCTATAAACTTCTATATTGCTCATATGTTTTAAGACTGATCACTTTTAGCATACCTTCCGTCCTTATTTTTTTCTTCTTAGCTCTTACCTCAGAATTTATAATAGATTATTTTGGCTTTAATGCCCTAAGTTTTGAACTCACAACTCTTTTCTTTGAGTTTCCACATTTTCCATTATTCCATTTCTCAAGGTCCTCTAGTGTTTGTTCTTATATTATTCTGCTTCTGGGACTTGGCATGCATACTAGAACAAAGGATTCTTTTGGTTTGGCTATTTAGTTTTTCCACACTTTAGATTTTCAGAGAGGTGGGCAGGGTAACATTACTTGCAATAGTGAAGTTTTAAAAATGCACTTTAAATTTCTATTTCTCTGAAGTTGCTATAATAAGTTTCTGAACAGTTTTGTGTCTTTAATCATACTATCTAAAGTAAACAAGTATATTCCTTATGTGTAAAAAACCAGACAATGGAGTGGCTAAGAAACAACTAGAAAAAATTTACTTCTATGATTACTATTAACCATATTAAGTAAGTAACTGAAGTATGTTGATTGTGTCGTTGGAACAGTAAATGTTCTTACTGTATTGTTTCAGCTAGTTAGACCACTAATGTGTTTCTTAGAATATTAAACCTTTGTAAATAGAAGAAAATGAAAAGTATTTTTGCTTATTTGCAAGTCTTTTATGTAATAGCTTTAATCTGCAATAAGTTTTTAGATAGGTTAATTGGAAACAAAACTTGAATTATATTTTGCTAACGAGATATTTATGGAAAGATATTTTATAGTTGTGTTTAGTATTATTAGAAAAATGTTGATATCTCTGTCTTATGTGTCCAGGAATTTATGGAATTTTCATCATACAAATAATTGAACTCCATGGCAGATGGAGCAGTTAAGAATATATGGAACAATTTTGGGTTACTGTAGATATCTTTGTGTCTCTTCCATCTTCAGGTTCTCCAAGTACAAGCAAGAGACAAAAGAGCTGAAATAAGATTTGTATAGAGATAGTACACAGAAACACTGAGCCACTGCCAGTGTTAAATTCAAATATTTGTGTGTTGAACGTATATATAGATATATGTATAGATCTGTACACTTCATTTGTTTTCAACAAGCAGCATAAAATGAATTCGCTAATGATTAGTATTAGAAATAGCTAATGATTAATAACTGAATTCTCTTTATATTTTGATTTGGATGATTTGTTTTCTGCTTCATTTCTCCAGTTCATTTTATTGATGAATTTTTTCTGAATGTTAAAAGGCATATTTTGCAAGTCATGGCAATGATGCAGGAATGAGCAATGCAAAATGTGTCAGGATAAACTTCCTATATTTCCTGTTCTTGTTGAGGGTTACCTACAAAATAAGTTATTCATCTTCTCTTGTTATCATCAAAAAGAAAAGCCACCTAGCAATAAATTGCTTAACATCACACACCTACCCACACCTCTCCTGTCTCTTGACCAATTTTTTATAGAAGCTATCTCCATTTGGATTAGGACAGATAGGCCAATGTGCATTTTTCTGGAGATTACTGCATTTTCAGTACATGTACTTATCTCTCAATAGTGGGTTTGTGAAAATACCAGTGAGGCAATTTGTATTGTAGTGCTGGCAACCAGAGGTCAGTTCATCTAATAGAAAAAAAAAACAACAAAGCTGTGAAAAAGAACTCTGCATATTAAACTGCTCATTTCCACTAATGATAATGACTGCAGCTGGAATAAAATCATTCATTTTATAAAACATAAGCAAAAATTATCAACTAGATAATAGGACCATCCATGACCTACAACCCAGCCTTGATGTTATGGATGAATATGGTCAGTGTCTTCCTCTGCCAGTTAGAGCAAGGCAGTTCCAGCTGGGCAGGTTCGTAACATGTTTAATGTTTAATGATGTGGCCTCCTTCTAAAAAGCTACTGGAACTATCACAAAAGTAATGCATTGCTTCCTAATACTGTGTTATAATTCATCTTCAACTTCTGATGAACCTGATTGAGCTTGTCATCCACTTTTCTGATTCAAAAAGAATAACCAGATAAGCAAATACCCCCTTTTCCAGAGAACTGAATATTGAAATTTTAGGGTGCAGAAAGTCATCTTTGCCCTAGATTTTCCACTGATAGACCGCCTCATCTTTTTTGTGTGTGCTACTGCACACTGGGCTAGGTAATGGCAGATCACATTAATTATTTTGAGTGCAGGTAGTTTCACCTTGGTTGCAATGTCTTCTAATGAAGC